GACCTGTTGTCTGATGCCACTCAGCCTGCTCACTTTGGAGGCAACCAGACCTTTGAGGAGATGCTCACAAAGCGTCATGCCGCTCGCAAAGCCCTCAATGATGCAGATGCTGACCGACGTCTTCGAAGAGCACTTCATTTGAAATACAAGGGCATCAACTCAGAGTATGCCCTGGGTCAGCAAGTATGGTTCTGGAGGGACGCTCGCCAACCCGACTTAGTCAAGATTCGGTGGTTGGGACCTGCTAAGGTCGTGATGAAGGAGCATCGACCCAACACTGAAGACTCAGAAGGTCCTGTCTCTGTGTACTGGCTCGCCTACAAGACCCAGCTCATTCGCTGTGCACCTCATCATGTTCGAGCCGATGTACGAAACCTCAACCACTCCATCGAAGACACGAGGGATGCTCTGAACCTGGTGAGGCAGTTGAAGTCAAGAGGAGTCACTCGGTTCTATGACCTTCATCGAGTCAACCGGCAGAACTTGGCCGATGTCGAGGATGATGAACAAGGCGAGGGCACACAGCTCGACACGGAGTCAGAACATGAAATGACTCCTCCCCGCCGCAGACCTCGGCTCACAATGGATCCACCTCCAGCTCCGTCTGAGGCACCGCCAGCTTCACCGCCACCAGATGAACCAGCACCAGCCCAACCCGTGGCGCCAACTGCGCTGGAAGAAGGCCCAGCGGCAGAGGCAACCACATCGCTACCTCCGGTCCCAGGCGATGATGATGAGGTGATCTCCGAACCCAGCCAGGAACACAGTGAGGAGCCACCAGTGGCACCTTCGATGCCACCCACACCGGCACCACAACCTCCAACAACTCAGCCGCAGCCCACGTTGGATCCAGCAACTGCAGCACTTTATGAATCACAACCAGCTGAGACCTTCCAACAGCAACGACTTCGGTTCAACAGGCAGGAGACCTTGAGCTTTGCTCCGTTTCGCCGTCGACTTCAACATGGACAACCACCGTATCCCACTGCGGAATCAACGGAAGCCGCAGAAGCCCATGTTCCACCTCTACCAGCACCTGAGCAGCTCGATGGCCAAGCGTTCTACATTGAGAACCTGGATGCCAAGTCATTGCCCTCTGGTTGGCGAGTGGATGAACAGGGTTACCTGCAGCTTGAGGAGAAAATTGCTGACTATTGGGAGCTCAAAGCAGGATGTTTGATCCGTCACCACATGATCCCTCGCCGAGGCCGCATGCACATCGAGCATTTGCCCAAAGACTGTCCGATCAATCCGGACCAGCTTGACAAACTCAAGATCACCATGGTGTATCAGGCCAATGGCCGGAGCCAGCTCTACACCGATGACGGAACGGTCACTTCACCTCCCGATGACACCAAGGGAGCATGGACAGGCACCACCATCCAACTCTCCGGCACTGCCCGACGCGAGATGGCTATGTACACCAGTACTCCCATGGTTCGCACCAGCGCTCGACAAGTGGCCAAAGAGCAGAAGAAGTCCAATCTCAAGAAGTTCAAGAAAGACAAGAGTGGAGTCAATGAGAGACTTCTTGGTCCACATGAGCGCGCCCTCTTCAAGGAGGCAAAAGTCAAGGAGCTCAAGTCCTTCTTCGACCATGGAGTCTGGGCTTTTCAGACAACTGCTGAAGCTGATGAAGCCCGTACCTTGACCTCACGCATTTTGCTCAAGTGGTCAAAGAATGAAGATGGCACTCCACGGGCGAAGGCCCGGTTGATCGTTCGCGGTTTTGCCGACCCGGACGCACTGGCAGGAACAATTCCTACATCCTCTCCAACGACGACACGGTTGTCGAGATCTATGGTCCTGTCACTTGCAGCAAACCTTCGCTGGCCAACATGGACAGCTGACGTCAGCACTGCCTTCCTCCAAGGTCGTCCACAGACCCGCAAGCTCTGGGTCAAGCTGCCTGCAGAAGCACTTCAGTTGTTGGGCGCTTCAGATGACACGAGGATGCTTTTGTTGAAGCCCTGCTACGGCCAGACAGATGCCCCTCGTGGTTGGTATTTGGAGGCAGTCGATCGGTTGCTGAGGGCAGGCTTGAGACAGCATCCACTGGATCCATGTGCCTTCCTCATCTACGAGAAGGACGATCCTGAGTACTCCGATGATGATCCGATCCACAAGGAGACCAGCACTCTTGGCCCCGAGAAACTATGCGGCATGGTGATCATGCACGTTGATGACATGTTGGGTGCTGGATGTCCTCGTTCTCCCAGGTACAAAGCAGTCACCGACATGCTGCGCTCGACCTTCTCATTTCGAGAGTGGAAGGAGAACAATGACAAGCTGGAGTACTGTGGATGTGAACTGGAGCGCACTCCTGAGGGCGGCAGACGCCTACATCAGGAAAACTACTTTAGCAAGGTGAAGCCCATCACCATTTCCAAGCACCGTGATTTGCAAGAGCCGCTTGATGAGAAAGGCATCACTCAAGTCCGCGGCATCCTTGGCTCTTTGCAGTGGCCCGCCGTGCAGACCTCGCCTCACCTTCAGTGCTCGACCTCGATGTTGTCAGGACAAGTGAACAAGGCCACCACACAGACCGTCCACGACTGCAATCGGCTTTTGAAGTTCGCCAAGGAACACAAGGATGTCAGCTTATACTACAACTTCATTGGACACCCCAGTGAACTGCAACTCTTGTGCTTCTTTGATGCTGGCTTCACTGCCAGGTCTGACGGCAGCTCGCAAGGTGGCTACATCCTAATGTTCGTCAACCGACAGTTGTTCACTTCTGGCGACAATGGCGAGTATCACGTACTGGACTGGCGAAGCTTCCGCACTCCAAGGGTCACCCGAAGCTCACTGGCTGCAGAGGCCCAGGCTGGAGGACAAGCTGTGGACAGCATTGACTTCGCTTGCAAGTATTGGCACTACCTGCACCATCCCGAATCCCAACCTCAAGTTGAAGGATTTGTTGAAGTCAGCGTCGACCTTGACGCCGACGATGGTGACTGATGCCAAGGCTTTGTATGACTCCTATCATCGTGAAGGAGTCAGTTCATCGGTGATCGACAAACGGGTCAGTCTTGAGATCCGTGTGATGAAAGAGATGATGGAGGAGTTGGGTGGCCAACTTCGATGGATGAGCTCTGAGCGGCAAGTAGCTGATGGACTCACCAAGGAGTCAGCCCGAGCTCTACTTGCAGCCCGCCTTCGCCATCGCCGCATCAAGTTGACCTGGGACCCCGAGTATGTGGCTTCAAAGAAGAAGACAAAAGGGGAAAAGGCTAAGGCCATTGCAGAAACCACTGCAGCAGCACCTCACGCTCCACCACACCTGGAGGAGAATGAGACCCCTGAGAATGAGCAGATTCCTGCCGATGTCAACGTCTCGGAGTATCCGGAGATTTTTTCGAATGAAGACCAGCCAAGGAATGAGGAGACTCCCGACGGCGGCTTCTGTGTTCAGAATATGGAGCCTCTAAAGTATGTGTTCGCCATGAGCCATGGCGGCCTGCTTATGGACACCACCTTCAAGTGTCGCATTTCGAATGTCTTCGTGATGTTGCTGCTGGCCTCAATGCCTACCTTGACCAAGGGTCAACAGTGTGTGGCTGAAGCAGAAGAGAAAGAGAGTGAAGAAGGGCAGCTATGGCTGTGGTTGGCCATCCTGGCCATGTTGCACGTCCTCGCGATGGCTACCGTCTTCATGATCGGCCGCTGGACTGTACCACGCCTGGTTCAGGAGAAGGAGAATGTGGTTGACACCAAGGAGGTTGAGACTCAAAAAGATGAACCCATCGTGCATTCACGACTTCGAGAACTACTCCAGCTGGAGCAGCAGCGCAGTGCAGAAGCTGCGCGATCAGCCAAAGAGTCCAGAACCGCACTGGACCTCCTGGTCGATGAAGTGGAGACCCTCCGAACCCTGGTTGGCACTGGACACCAGCTCATCAAGCGGCTGATGTTTGAGATGGAGTGGCACAATTCCATGTGCCCTTTCTCGAGGAACATCGTGACCTCGCGAACCTCCGTGTGCTGGCACCATGAGACCTGCCACATTGTAGAGCAGATGAACGGCCCGCTGTATGTTCGTAGAGCATGTGCGTACTGTGCAATGCACAGGCCACCACCTGATAGGACGAACGAGCATGCACAGACCATCCGACCAGAGCTCGACGCTTTTCTGGCCGCAGCATCTCCATGGGCAGGTGAGTGAACATCTCCCCCCGTGTTGAGACGCACGCTGTGCGCCACGTTTGACATGTCATGTCATGAGTTTCTTTTTCAAACCAACCATATCCCACCGTAGAGGGTGGGCTCGAGAAGCTTGCAAAAAGCTGCGTGTGGCGTTCAGTCGCCTTTGCCCTTAGCTTCGACCTCGTCGTTGCTTCGTGTTCGTTTGCCGTGGACTTCGTGCGCTACGGCTACTTCTCTACAATAGTGTTTGAAGAAAAAGGGCCCGGATTCTTAAGGATACATCCATTCACTGGGGTTCAAAGATCGTCTTTCGACTTGTAGGGGTCAAGGATTCGCCGTCGAACCGCTTCGTTCATCCCGAACCAGCGCTTTCGACCCATCTGGGATGGACAGATCCTCGTGTTTTCCGCCAAAGAAGCTGTGACATGAGGGTTTTTCATGTGGTTCAGGAGGGTCCCACGATGTCCCCCCCTAAGCAGTCCAGTCCACCTCTTGCAAAAGACTGATCAAAGTGGTCTGACTCAGTGACGTCTGGCATGTCCTGAACACCTTCGATCAAATCGTCGCACTCACTAGACTTCACAGCAATGAATGGCCCCCATCCAGGCCACACCCGCCGGTGAACCGAACCCCGCGCATCCCCGGACCCTTTGTCTGGCCGAACAGATCTCTGGCCCCTCTTGTGGGAGCTGCCTCCCACGAACCTCTCCCATGTCCCGGAGTCTTCGACTGTGGGGACGAAGGAGAGGCAAAAAACGACACGTGGAGGGCAAAACGGGCAAAGAGTTTCATGTCGCGGTACCAAACGAACGGAGGGTAGGGCGGCCTTCTGGGGGTGTCAAAATCCACTGGATGAGACTCAAATGCCACTCCGACACTCACTCCGACATGGAACGTTCTGTTGCGTCTACAGTGTCTTGGCGGTCTGAAAGGGATATGGCTGCGAGCCACCGCCCGGCAGCCGTGCGAAGAGCGCTCGGAAGTCAATGTTCACCTGCCGGTTCTCGCGACCGAGGACGAAGAGCGCTCGGAGACGACGCCATTGGGGTTGAAGTAGGGAAAATAGACCAGCACCCTCCAACAGGTCACCAATTGATACCTGTTAGGGCCTAACAACCCTCCAAAGGAGACCTGTTGGAAGGTCTTTGGGAGGTCTCCCTGCACACACATTCCACCTTGACCAGACCGACCGCCATACCAATTGCTGCTTGTTTGGGTCTAGCGAAGGAAGCGGTCGCATCCGGTCGCATCCTCACTCCCAGGTCGCCTGTCGGGCCCGAACAGGTCTCGATTGGTAACCTGTTGGAAGCTCCTGCTTATACATACCAGCACCCTCCTGGCCAGGCTGTTACTTGAGGGTTGTTGGACCCTGTCTCAGGTCGAACCATTGGTGACCTGTCGTCCGCAATCCTCCCCACCCGACCCAAACCCGGCCCGCCTGCTCCTGACACGCCTTCAGCGCGTCGCGGATGTGAAGTCTCAAAACCTGAGGTGTCGGAGTTGGCTCCAAAGCTCCAAAAACGCCGGAGAGCCAGGCCAGAGGGCCAGGGAGTCGGGTGTGGACTGGGCGGGTTCCAGATCCGAGCTCCCTTCATTCTGTGACCCCACAGGCTCCCTGGAAGGGTTGGTCGGTGGCATGGATCGACGATGAGAAAGAGGTACTCTAGAAGTCCTGGGCCCACCATGTATTGGTATTTCATCGCCGGAGAATCCCAAATCATCCCTGGACCATCCTGTCGGGGTGCGCTGTCTGGAAGCCCAACTAGGTAGTGTGGGGTAGTTCGGCCAGGACACCTGGATGGTCCTGGTCCGAATCAACCATTGTTTTACATGATTTTACACTACAAAATCCAGATCAACCATGCTTTAAAAGGTGTCGAACGGACTTCCGGTATACCCCCCCCCGCCGAGAGAAAAAGGAGTGGGGTACCGAAAGCATGGAGGGCCAAAACGTCCACACAGGCGCTGAGATGGGACTGAAAACCACTCCAGCCACCCAGGACCGGAGTAGCCCGGGCTCCCCCCATCTCAAACCATCTGGCCGCTGGGACTTCTCCACCTATGGAACTGCAATGGGTAGAACGGGTGGAGTTCGATGTCGATTCGGCGCCAGGGTGGTGTCGACTGACCCCAACCCGACCGTCGCTTCGCTCGCCCGAGGCGCGTGGTCGATCTCCGCGAAGCTCCCGCGCGTTTGCAGCACCAGATCCGCCACCATCTTCTTATCCTTCTCGGTGGTGGCCTCCGAAGGTCAAGCGGTCAACTGGTATAGGAGGACCAGGATCTTTGAAGAGTGTGTCAAAAAGAGAAAACAACTGTTGGAAGGTGTACATGGTTTGTTGGTTTCAACTTAATATAAGATGTCAATAGTCAGTACATGTCAGTACGGTGTATTGATCCAATCATCCCCAGTAACTCCCAAGTACCAGGACCTTCCTTCTGAGGTGTCTATTTCCTAGCCTCTTAGAGGTTAGGTGTCCGAAAACCACCGGACTTGGTGGCACGGTCCTGGTAACAGGTTGAACATACACAGGTTCCGTCAACATCTCATCTCCCACAACCGTGGCAAAGGTCCTCGGACCGACCTGCCGACTCCGCGGAGGACCTTCGAGACGACGGACGTGGCTCCATGCACCCCGTCGAACGTGACTGGTCTCTTTTGTCTGGGCCCCTTATATCTTCAATCCCTGGTGTCCAAATACCCCCGCAACTCCACACCGCACCCACACCAGGTCCCCAAGCGTCCGGACTCTCTTCGGATCCTTCTCCCCAGCGCGTCGCCTCCGCGTCCGCCAGGCTCAGTTCCGCCAAGCGCTCGCCGATCTTGATGGAGATCTCCACTGTGGAGGAGCCATAGTTCAGCACCCCATTGGAGGTGCAAAAGAGCAACCCTTCGAACCTCGCGAGAGGTAACGCTCCGCGCCAAGGGATCCGATTCGGAGGGCGCGCGCCACGAAAAAAAAGGAACCAAGGAGCGTTCGAAGCAAGCACCCGCCCCATGAAGGGATCGCCAACCCGGGAAACCCGGACACTCAGATCCGGGTGTGTTTCCTGCCGTTCGTCCGCTTCACTGCCCGGTTCAACCCAGGTTCCCGCCGCCGAGACGCGGCCGCGTCTCTTCCTTGGCTCGTTCCTCCAGCTCGATGGTCTGCAACAGCTCGAACAAGCACCAGGACCTCCCATCGGACATACGGCGTTACTAGTAGCTCTCTTCGCACCGACCCCTCCGCGGGGTTCACCCCCCACGGAATGGACCTCGTGGTGGGGTCCCCCTTCTGGGCGGTTTGAGGAGCCTTGTGAAGCCTCCACAATCATTTGAATGGTGGTGGATCTCTCATTTCCGGAGGTGTCCCGGCAAACGTCTGGAGCCATTCCCAAGGACTTGCTCGCCCAACACGACTTGGGGGTCGCTGCGATGGGGGTCCAAACCGGCGCCCCGTCCGCTGAAACAAGGCCCAGTTGGAGCACTGAAAACACCGTCAGTCAGATGAGAAGCCCCAAACCAGGGAGGAGTGCTCCAAGTGCGGCATGTTCAAATTTCAACCCTAAAAGTCCAGTTCGACGATTTTGGGCACCACCGAAGTAAAGAATTGAACCGTCCATTTCGGATGTCCGCATGTTTTGCACATGGTCGACCCTAAAGGATGAAAGCACATGGCCAATGCTGGTGTTGATCCGATCCGATCAGACCGGAAGCCGTGGTCATCCACCTTCCAACCTGCACCACCTACCCCTGAAGATGTATTCTTCATTCAGAAGCCGCGCAGAATGGATGGTCTGGAAAAGGATCCCTTCCTGGACATCCCTTATAAAAAGATATAAAAGGGAGTTGTGTTTGGAGCCCTGACCGGCAAAGGTGAATGGACATCTCGGTTGCCACCACATGGGTGCCCAACCGTCCAGCCTGACCGACACTGTACACCCACGCCCCAGCCCTCCCTCCCCCCTCCAACAAAAACATCACCGGCATCGCCCCGCACGAAAATGGCGAAAAAAAGGAAAAGAGGCGCGGCCGCCTCTTCAGCGGTTGCGCCAACTCATCCAAAATCATGCAGGTTCCTTTCAAGCCCTCGCTGTGGAGAGCCTCGCTGCAGGTTCCCGTCCACTCAAACTCCCCTCCCCTGTGCTCCGCCCAGCCTTGGGCGTGCGTGCACTCTCCATGCTGAAGCCGAAGCCACTGAAGTGGGTGAATCGTGACCCCAAATGGCAGCTTCAGGGTGAAGTTCATTGGGGGAGCACATATTTGATACCCTGGTAATTCCAAAACGGTTCAAAAGAATGGTCCTGATATGTCCTGATCATCAAGGGAGCCTGAGTTCGAGAACTTCCTTTATTGGACAAAAACTCGTCGATCTGGACGGATTCCAGTGGCCTCTATATAGAAGCGGTTATTGACCGACACCTCTTGGAAGGCCTAGACTCCAGGACACGGGCCGGCCATTCGCAACGTATGTCAACACTACAGGCCACCCCAAGAGTTCGGCGTTCGAGTTCGACGCCGAGGAAGTCTTCTGAAACCTCCACGCCCCACATGGCTGGGGAACGAACGGAAGGAACGAGCACCCGAAGGAAGGTGACCAGAGACCCCCCGCCGAAAACAGGTGAAAACCGGAAGATGCGGTGCTGGAAGATGTGGTCGAACCCAGAATCCACCCTGCGTGGAGGAAGAATGCCATGCACACGACGTGCACACGACGTGCTCCAAGCTCACCATGCCAAACAACCACACCCTGCCCATTCCAAATTCCACAGCAGCACCCAAACTACGCGTCGCGCCGCGGGTCAGGAAAAAGATCTTAAGACATGGCATGATGATCCGCGCCTTGTAAAAGGAGGACTCCGTGTGCTGTCCACCACCCAGTTCCTCCTGGATGTTGTACTGGTTGTTGGAAAAGGTGCAGATCCAGTACGCCGTGTTCTCCCAGCTGCCGTCGCCCGGCGTGCGACTGTCCACCGGTGCCACGGACCAATCGGACTCCTAAAGCTGGACGGCGCGAAAAAGGAAGAGGACGGCGAGGACAGTCCTGAGCCCCATAGGATTCCTGAGCCCACCATTGACTAGAGGGGATTCTGACTGCTTTTTGCATGATCAATTCACCATGAACTTTGAAGGCTAGGGTGAAGAATTACGTGCCCCAACGACCCCGCTGGCACTAGTCACTGGCCGCGTGACATTCATAAGCAAGCTCCTCCCTCGCCTCCAAAACTTTCTGAAAATCCAAACCTCTCTGCCCACCAACAAAACACTACAGATTCCACATTTTCACAGCACCTGCCCCCCAAAAAAAGGGAAATACTATGAAATCATCAACTGCAATTAACCAGAAAGAGTTCCAAATCAAAAAATGTTCTCCAAAAGCTCCTCCCAGCTCCACACGCCTCGCACCTCCACACCTCCACACCGGTGGAACGCGAACCTCGCCCCCCGCGTTCCACCCGGTTCCGGCACGGCCGCCTGGTGGCGCTTCACCTCCTTGGCATGCCGCATCAGGGCATCGCAGTAGACGCTCACCGGCGTGCCCCACCAGTGGCTCACGAACCACTCCACCTGACCGCGGACGGCCGCGGACCCGCGGCTGTGGCAAACGGTGGGGCGCACGCGCGTTTTTTTTCACAAACGATGGGGGGCAAGACGTGTTCGTGCCGCGAGGGGTGGAAAGGAGCCAACCAAAAACCATGGGACCCCAAACACCCACGCGGAAGCCCCAAAGCCCGGAAACCGTTTGGGTGGCGGGGCTTTGAGTTGATTCTGAACGACGATCCAACAAGCGGAAGGTCGTCGATGGGGCCTTGCCTCATCTTTCGAGGGGAGAACAGGAGCGACCACGCGATCTGCGAGCGATCTGCGAGTGCTCGGTGCGTGCGATCTCCGACGTCCAAAGCGTTGGAGGTTGGGAGGCGACGACGTCCAAAGCGGTCGCGCGGTCGTGGTTTGGAAAAGCTTACCCAGCGCATCCCAGGCAAACCACTATATATATATACCTAGATCTTCCAACTATGCAAAATTTATGCCTTTTAGTTTAGAAAACCAGCCAAAAGGCATAAATGTTGCATAGTTGGAAGATCTATAGGTATATAAGGAACCAGGGGCCCTCGTTCGGTCGAACTGGTTTGGTCGTCGAACTGGAACCACTGGGACTACCAGCGAGCTTTCGTGGGAACTGCGATGGTTTGGGTGAGTTTCGAGCGCTTGTGGCCCGTTCCGATCCTTCCACCGACCCACCCGGTCGTCTGGGTCGAGGACGGACGGTCAATGAAATACTGGGGTTGGTCATACCAGCACCCGACTCTACAGGTCTCCGATGGCTGGAGGGTTGTTAGGCTCTAACAGGTTTCAATTGGTCACCTGGCAGTGAGGGTGCTGGTACAAGAAGCATCTAAAATTTGACTCAAGAAGCTCAAAGACCAGGTTGCAATCGGAGTGCTGGACTTGCATCCTATACACCTCTTGCCGCCGCCCCACCCATTGGCCGCCCCACCCATTCCGGCCTGGTCCGGGCCAACGTACTCCGCAAAGGAGAGCTTCGCTGACTTCGTCAAGGGCTGCAAGATGTTGGGATCCAAATAGTACATGTTCCTGTGACCCGAAGAGTCCACGTCTACATGGGTATCCTGGTACATGGGTATCATTGGGTATCCTGGGACATGATGCCTGCCAGGTGGGAGAGTGCATGAGTCAAGTTACGGAAGTTCCTGCTCACCTCTGAGCCCCCGCGAGTCACATGGTCCGGGCGCCCCAAAACGGAAGTCGGGGTGCCCACGTCCACGGCCCCCGTGGTTTCAGAGTAGATGGCACTGGCACCCCGAAAAGTCTTTTTTATAGGGGCTGCAAACAGAATCCCCCCTAACCTATCTAACCTTGAGGATGGTGCCATCGTGGCACCCTCTGAAACCCACGTGTGCCGTTCCGCGGACCGGTGGGTTTCACCCCGAGCTCTTGCGACGCTCGCCTGGCTCGCCTGCTCGTCCGGGCGACCCGACAAGTTTGTGGTTGGACCAGTTCGGTGGTTTGGGGACCACTCAGACGCCACAGCTCAGACAGAGGCCATGCATCACAGAAGGAAGGAAGGTCCTGGATGCTCCTGGTATCTTGTGGCTGTGGCATGCTGTGCCATTCTATATAATACCTAGATCTTCCAACTATGCAAAATTTATGCCTTTTGGTGTAGAAAACCAGCCAAAAGGCATAATGTTGCATAGTTGGAAGATCTAGGTAGATCTATGAGTCTATGAGACTCTTTGCACCATGAGGACTTCGTCCCCGGGGAGGGATCGCCCAGGGCGGCCAACGACGGGCCCAAAAAACACGTCGGAGTGCAAACGACGGTTTTCTCGCGTTCCACCGTGGGTTTCGAAGTTGCTACAGCAGGAGTTCCAAAAAGAAAGAAGGTGTTCCCAGGAGTCACAAAGGAGTGGGTTTTTAGTCCCTAGGCCCATCCAGTGAGTGGATGTGACAGGGGCACCCCTATCCTCCAAGTCCGGCACCGCGTCCTGTGACTCCTGGTCAAAGGCTCTATGTCAGTGGATCGTATCTTGATCAGCAACCTGGAACTGCTGGAACTCCTGCCTTACTTCACCAGCACCCAACTCTATCAATCACCGGTCGGTCTTCGAACATCGTGACTGACTGGTCCGAGGTCTTCCAGTTTCGTGACCCATGGGAGAGATAGTCTGTTTTTGTAGCCTATATGTGCCTTACCATCCTCACCACTCTGAGAAGAAGTGCTTGAAACGTCTTCAAACATCTTGAAACCAAGGAATTTGCCGAAATGGCCTAAAAGAATTGAAACGCCATCTACTACCTACCTGTATCTTGGACCCTCGAAGCACCAATACTGGAACTGACCTCACCCACCAAAGCAAGTCATCCGCTTTCAAGCTCGGGGCGTCCAGTCCTCTGTCGAATGATGGAACGGAAATGGTGGTGCAAATCCAAGATCTTCCAGACGCGCAGCCCCCGTTGGGCGCCACGCGGCACGGCCAGCGTCTTCCTCTTCAAGTCCGCCTTCTTCATCTTCCTGAGGTCGGGAGAGAAGGACTCACTGACTCACTATGACCAGTACCCCCCAAAAGGGACGCAGATGCTCCACCGTTGACCGCCCCTCTCCCCCCAAACCACCGAAGCCCGACCCTTACCGCGCCCGCGCGCCACCACGTCCGACCCACCCCGTGCCCCACGTGCGTCGAGGATCCGGTAGTCGTTCAGGAGGGTCCTCAACGTGGTCCCAGAGCGAATCATCTGCCTTGAAGAGCGCCCCGTGCCCGGGATGCCGCCCGCCCGACTGGTCCGGGTGAAGGCTGCGCTCTGGGCAGAGCGGAACGGAACGGGTTTGGAGAGTTCAAAGAACCAGAGCGCCGGCATGATGCGGGGGTGGTTTCTCTTTTTCTTGTTGCCCCCAAAAGAAAAAGAGACGCACACGCACCGAACGAAGTCCTCAACACACGCTCCGGAGTCCTGCACGGGGCCACGGAGCCCCCCAACTCGGATCACCTGAACGAACTTCCAGTGTTGGCTCTCCCGTCCCAAGGACGTGTGGGTTCACGCCATCGATCTTCTTAACCTTCTTCAGTTAGTGACCTTTTGACGATAGAACCAGGTTTGAGGTCACTGTTTCGGGCCGGTAAAAGGTCACTAGAGATGGCACTCCAAATTGGGTCACTGTGGAGAAGCTGGAACTCAAAAATCAAAGCTGCTTGATTTGTTCTTTTTTCAGATTGACATCGACGTGTTAACCCGAACAATCTCATGTCCAGCCAAACAAGACAGATTCGATTCTCAGCTTCCCCGCACTTCCACCCGCTCACCCGCTCGCGCCAAGCACGGCCTCCAGAGGATCCGCGCGAAGAGGGCGACCACGATGCCAATCAGCAGCGTAATGAAGGTTTCAGTGTAGTAGGGATCCAACCACACCTCGCTGCTAATTTCGGGGGGGTCCACCGAGAACCGGGAACCCGCGGGCGGCGCGGCTACAGTGTCGAGGTGGCTCTGCTAGATCGGTGCAGGGGTCACCTTTGGGGTGCGGCTGGTGTCGGCGCAAAGGAACCGGCCTGGAAAAAAATATTCACCAGAAGGCAGGAAAAGCAGCTCATTTCGCAGGACCACCTTTCCCGCGAGGGGTGTTGGCACAGGAGACCATTCCGATATGAGGTGATGAACTTGCCGGACATCCTAATTACTCGGTCTTGACGAGGTGACCCGAAAAGGGTCTTGACGAGGTGACCCGAGTCCAAAAATGTCCATCGCCTTTCACTGGACATCGGGAACCGGTATCATCTTTATCTTCTGCTGGTTAGCTGGTTGGCTTCGTTCCTTCGCCCATCTCGATGTGGACAGACTTCTGGGGAGCCAAGTCATATTCGCCACGGCGAAGCTCCTTCACCCCCACGACCAGCCGCCATTCGGCACGACCACGACCCTGGACCCGAGCGGCGAGGAGGCCCACAGAGACGCCGGACAGGCCCACCAGCTGCAGGATCAGCGGCAGCGGCAGGCCTGGCTCGCGGGAGAGGAAGCGGAGCTCGCGCGGGCCGCGCGTGGAGCTAGCCAATTCCAATCTCTCATCAAAAAGAAAACGTCCGGTATATCTGGAGCCGACTCTTACAGGTTTTCCTCACCTGGCTAGTGACTTCAAGTCATAGGTGGAGACCTGGAAAGGCAAGGGTCCTGGTCTGGGGTGTCTTCGTTGGTCGCCTGCTATCGCCTGCCCGCCCCTCCTCCTGGATCCTACGGTATGTTCTTTCGTGTTTCCAGTACCTGACAAAGGAATTTCATTGACTGAAGAGTGGGGCAATTCCATGTGGGTCATTGAAATTGGCACTTCTATTCAAGGGGTCATGATCCTGAGAGTATATGAAAGTATACCATATTACATCTTTCTACCAGCTGGGATACGGATAGTGAAGTCTCTCAATAGCCTCTACCAGGAGTCACAAAGGGGTGCCTATTGGAGGTTAGGAGTGCCCATTATCCACTCACTTAGGGACCAAACACCACCCCCTTTGTGACCCCTGGTATGCAGAGTCTGGTTCCGGTAACTCCCAACCATTCCCAACCCCACCACGACCAGCCCACGTCATCTCCAGCAACCACGTTTTCACCGTCATCTCCCGCCGTTGGACCGATCCAGGGTCACACCAACTCCTAGGGCCCCACAAACCCGGCCGCAGCGCCGAAAAATGGATCAGGAAATGCCGGATCTGCCGGGATGTTCCGGGGATTTTTCGACAGGCGTCCTTCATCTCTCTCCTCATCTCCCAGTCCTTCCCCATCACCCCCAAACCACCCCACCCCAACCACCTCCCACCAACCCAACCATCCCACCCGCCCGCCCGGTCGCCGCCGCCGCCCGGTCGCGCCCAGCGCCCGCCGCCGGTCGCGCCCATCGCCTGGCAAGGTGGAGTGCACCAGCGTCCGCCAGGCGCTGAGCCGCACAGTACCCATGGATGAGTCCGCCTCGAAGCACATGGGCTGCCCGGTCTCGGTCACCACCTGCCGGTCATCGGTCGGTGTTCGGTCCATCACCCGGCGGGGTGCGGGGAGAGGGGTCTGGGTCTGCGCCTGGAGCCTGCGCTGGTTGTGCGGCAGGGCGTAGAACTGGAGCAGCTTCCCCGGCTTGGAATCCTCGGTGCCACCGGTGGCGTTGGAAAGGACCCGACGGGTCCTTCCGTTGAAGGCAAGGCACGGGCGCATCCGACGTTCGGGAGGCTTGGCTTCACCCTTTCTTCACCTCTTTTCACCTCAAAGCCTGGAAAAAAGGGCTCCTCTTGCTACTAGGGGCTCCTGGCCTTACTACTGGGAGCAATGATGTTCGCTACTAAGAGCAAAGGGCATCGCTACTAGGAACAAGGACGCTACGAACGGGGCTCCTTGCTCTTCACCTCTTGGTCGTCCAAAGGATCTTCAGCACCAGGTCTTCGAACGACCCGACCCGACCCCTTGCGCCGTGGGGCCAGGAGGAAGTGCCCCGTGCGCCAGAGGGTGATGGGGATCGGCCGGCCGCCGGGCGCGATGAAGTTGTGCAGCCCATTGGACGTCACCACCAGTTCCCCTTGGGTGCGGCACGGACTGCGGCGAGGAGTGCGGAAGAGAGAAGAAGAGGGGTCGTCTTTGGTCCTTTGGGGCAAGGATATGAGGGTCTAGACTCAATGGGAGACTATAGAATAGCTAGACCATAGATGGTCTCGGTCTGCATGTTTCTAAGCCCCCCTCTTTCTCGACTCGGCCTTGGGAGGCCCCCAGAGTGGACACTCTCCACCTTCCCCAGCCTCCACTGCGGGTGCAGATGTCGTCGATGCGCCGGGGCATGCCATGCAGGTTCCAGGGTCTCCGGGTGACCTCGCCAGCACGATCGATCCCGCGAGCGTTCGGAGCGCACAACAGTGGGGTGCTTCGTTGGCAACGGAAAGGCTGGAAAGACTTGCGAAATCGCTTGCCATGTTCCCAGTTGTTCGTTTCTGTAACAGAGGTGACTGCATGTACGGTCCCATGTCCGAACAGAGCGAAGGCCTCGGCACCTGCGGCAGTGCCTCAGCCGCAGCCCCATCCGTGACACCCCGGCATGTTCCGGGCCTCGAAGCTGCTGAAGATCGCCAGAAAGAAGCAGGACAGGGCCTCCGTGAGCGTTCGGAAGACACTCCGTGTGGTGGGTGATTTGTTTGAAGTGTTCTAAAAATATTTCAACTGTCGGACCGTCATTACTATACTCTCCCAAAGCATCCTTTCAACTCCCTTAAAACCCTTATATAGCTGTGTAGTGAAGCGAGGCGGGTCCTCTTGTTCTAAGCTCTATGGTTTGGATTGCTACCGGTAGATACAGCCTCTCTGCAAGCACACTTCAGCAATGGCAGTGAGCTTGCTCTCCTATTCCAGCACCCTCCAACAGGTCACCACCTGACACGTTTAAGTCTCCAAAAGCCTCCAGAGGAGACCTGTTGGAGGGTGCTGGTTGGTTTTATCAAAAATATTCAAACTGATTCATAAACACAACAACATCCAAAAAAAAACATCAACAACAGCCTCCTGCAGGCAGGATGCCAGCCTGTCTTAGCACGCTTGATCTCCAAGTGGCATGCGCCCAAGGGGGGTGACGGAGTTGAGTTCTCCAACTCTCCACACCAACGAGTTCGCTTGGAGCAGATGCTCCAAGCAGAAGTCCAGTCGGAGGTATGAGTCTGGCACCACCCAAATCAACCAGGTTCTTCAAAGTGACCCCCCTTTGGAGTGCCATCTCTAGTGACCTTTCACAGGCCCGAAACACGTTCGTGACCGAACCAACCGGGACGTTCGGTCGTTCGGTCGCTTTGAAGAACTCGGATGCGAACGACGGTGCGAACGCCTTCAGGGAACGACCATGAAAAGGAATGGGAACGACCGCACCGTGTAGTTCAAATGGCTCCGTGAAACAATGGCTCCGTGGTAAAGACCACTAAAACAATGGTTGATCGAATCCTACAGGGTTTTTGCAGGTCTCGACCCTGCTCCCCCATCTCAACCCCAGCGGCCCCGATGAGCACGAGGGTGGCCGCCAGACGGCCAGGCGTGATGAAGCACATCTCTCCACCGGGCGCGGACTCTTCGATCATGTACCAGCAACGAATGCACTTCCTCGGTGAACAACGAGGCCGGTCGAACCCGGACAACATCTGCCCGAGATGGCTGGAGATATCCTCCGATAAGAGTCCTCCTTGCTTTCTTTGTTCCAAATATAGTCCACTTCGACTCTGACATGGAGGCTTTTGTGACTTAAAAGCCGCAGATGTGGTGACCTGTCTGACGAGTCCGAGTGTTTCCTTTTCGATCTTTCTGGGGTCACGGAGACCCGTCAAATCACAAATGACTGGATACCTGAAGGGCGCACGGTGCGCTCGTCACTCCCTCCGATATCCAAACATGTCCGCTGGTCATCCAAGTGGAAATCGGGTGAAGGGAGGGGACCCGCTGTGCTTTCTTCTTGAGGTGCTTTTGGTTGAATCAGTGGCTGACCTGTTTGTCCTCCGGGTCTGGCAGCCTCTCAGGTCCTTTAACTCCATGCCTTTCCTCCACTCCTAACAACCCCCTGTTGGCCCACTTCCATGGCCCACATCGCCTGCCCAACAACCGCCCGTGTCCACCGCCCTTCACACCGCGACCAGGCCCAGGCGTCCCCTCGAAGCGGTACTGCCGCTCGGAGCAGCTCACCCGCACCTCGCCGAAGTCCACGCGGAAGTCCTCCGGCCTCGACCGGACGAGCCGTCGGTCGCGGTAGGGGCCGATCGGTTGGGGGCGGTTGAAAAGGGGGGGGAGCATGTGATTCATGTGTTGGAAGTAGTGGTATAGAAAGCTGATAGCTCCGGAGAGCTAGCCCATTGGAATTTCAAGACATGCTGGGCTTCGAAGCCAATCCTCCAAGACCTTTTCCACATCGAAGTCAAAAGCGGTCTACAGTACACCAACCCTCGCTTGTGGCCGTTTTCCAACCCTCGCTTTTCGGGCGCCACTAAATGGTTCTAACTGAATGATCAGTGTCAGTGTCTATGTTTATCGATGTTACCCAAAACCAGGTCAAGCATTTTGTTCAATGGTCTTGGACACTTTGGAAGGCTGGGAGTCTGGAGCTGGCCTCGTACAAGAGAGTCTCGCGGTGGAATGCAAGAAGCGCTGGTAGCTGTCAGCCACCCGCTGTTGGCACCAGCAGAGACGGTAGATCCCGGCCTGAACGGAGAAAAAAGCAAGGTTTGGGCTTCACACAGAGATAGGCTACAAAACAACTCAGACAAAGTATTCTACACCAGGACCCTCCAACAGGTCTCCTCTGGTGGCTCTTGCAGACTTAAAGTCAAAGGTGGTGACCTGTTGGAGGGGGTCCTGGCATATGGTGTTTGTCTTGTCGACTCATTTCTTTAACTTCTACCGGTACATAT